AGGACGAAATAAATCTCTGTTGAATAAATCAATGCATTATGGCATTTCAAGATAATGTATTTTGTGGCATGCTTTGTTATTAGCTTGGAAGAAAACATAAAAAAAAAAAAAACCCACAAATTCCAGGTACATTACAAACCTTGAAATATAGATACAAAACGAATAAACACCTAGGAAACAACAGGATCACATTTATTTGTATACTCTTGGAACGGGATTGCCCTTTTAAAATGTTATTTCTGTGTGGGTGTATGGGTATATGCGTGCCGTGGAGCCTGTGCAGAGTTAAGGGGAAATTGGGCCACTGTGTGGATGGATCCTGGGAACTCAGGCTGCCATGCTTAGTGGCAAGCACTTTTAACCCTGAGCCGTCTCTCTAGCCCAAAAAATTTATTTTTTATTAATTACAGTTTATTCACTTTGTATCCCAGCTGTAGGTCCCTCTCTTGCTTCCTCCCAATCCCAGTCCACTGATAGGGGAGGTCCTCCTCCCCTTCCATCTGACCCTAGTCTATCAGGTCTCATCAGGACTGGCTGTATTGTCTTCCTCTGTGGCCTGGTAAGATGCTCAATCTTCATTCAGAAAAGCAAATGGGATGGACATCAGAAGAGGAAGAAAACAGGGAACAGGACAGGAGCCTACCACAGAGGGCCTCTGAAAGACTCTGCCCAGTAGTGTATCAAAGCAGATGCTGAGAATCATAGCCAACCTTTGGACAGAGTGCAGGGAATCTTAAGAAAGAAGGGGGAAATAGAAAGACCTGGAGGGAACAGGAGCTCCACAAGGAGAGCAACAGAACCAAAAATTCTGGGAACAGGGGTCTTTTCTGAGACTGATACACCAAACATGGACCATCCATGAAGATAACCTAGAATCCCTGCACAGATGTAGCCCATGGCAGTTCAGTGTCCAAGACAGTTCCCTAGTAAGGGGTACAGGGGCTGTCTCTGACATTGACTCAGTGGCTGGCTCTTTGATGACCTTCCCCTGAGGAGGACGCAGCCTTACCAGAGTTCCTTTCTTAAGAGAAACCCAAAAACTATAAAGGAAATAGAACCAGCTTTGTCCCCCCCAAAATAAAATAGATTTTAAGAGCTCATGTTGGCTCTTAGACTACGCACATGTCAAATATACGAAAGGGGACTGCGGAGATGCCAGCTGGTAAAGTCCTTTGCAAGCATCAGGGTCCGAGGTCAGCTCTCAGACCCACGCAGGAAGCTTGTAATCCCAGTGCTGTGGTCAACAGGAGACCCTGTCCCCAATAAAGAGCAGAAAGGCAGCTGAGGACTACCAGTGAGGGCTGGCATGTGTACACACGAGCAGCTACATACATAAACACACCAAACTATGTCGAAGGGCTTATAGAACAAATTATACTAGTGAAGTCCATGAAGAACATCAGTATACTGCAATATCCATACACACTATGCAAACTGGAAAAGAGATGAATGAAAGAAAAAAAGGGAGCTAAGAATCCCTAAGTCAACACTTCTGAACGTGGCTGGGTAACGTGTCACATTCCTGGAATGCCAGCACACTGGGGCTCTCAGGCAAGAGGGCCACTGTGGGCTCCCCCTCTTCAGGCCAGACCTGTCTCAAAGACTAAACACACCACAGCTCCATAAAGACAAAACCCACAGTCTGCTCACCTCAAACGCAGTGGAGGCAGGAGGAAAGAGAAAAAAATGGACAAGCACCATCTGATACCAGGAGCGTTACATGCCCTGACCTTCCGTATCACACACTAAAACACACCCCAGGTCTTTACGATGTCTCAGTAAGATTTTTTAGTTACCTTAAAAACTTATCCTCTGTAGACACAAGATACTCTCTGCCCCTTTATTTACCTCTGAGAAACAGTGGTTATATTCATGCTTAGGTAGCTGGATAAACCCAACACTTTGCAATGTGATGTGGAATGCAGAGTTTGTAACACACACACACACACACACACACACACACACACACACACACACACGATGCAGAAAAACTCTACTTGATAATTTCTCCACATAGCTGTTCATGCGTGCACGTGCGTTTGGAGGTCAGACAGCGTCACTGTCAGTCCTCAGCTGCCTTCCTCCTCTTTGTTGGAGACAAGCTGTCCCGCTGACCACGGCACTGGGATTACAAGCTTCCTGCGTGGGTTCTGACAGCTGAACTCCGGCTCTCGCATTTGCAAAGGACTTTACCAACTGTCATTTCCGCAGTCCCCCCTAGTGTATTTTTCACATGTATGTAGGACTGGGAAGACAGCCTGTTCTACATATCTCCTGTATCTCAGCAAACCCAGAGGTTCAGATCCACCCTGCTATGTATTCCTTGAGAAGGATGCTTACAAGTAACAGGCCCAAGCCAGACAGCCAAAGGCACGGCAATACCTCCCAAGCATAGGCAGGCGTGAGTATATGCAAGGTGAGTTAGCCAGGGAGAAAGTGGGCGGTGGTGTACTTTGGTGAGAGAAGGAAGTACGTTGCTTAGTAACCACAACATACATGGATGAGCGTTTAATTGCATAAATACCCACTTAAAGAGTATACTACTCAAACCCCTACTAATCCAAGAAATACAAACAAAATGTCATCGTTTATCAGGTTGACTAAGAGAGAAAGTTGCTGGAGCCCCCCATAGACTCATGTATTTGAATACCTGGGTCCCTGCTGGGGCAACTGTCAGAGGAAGGGTTAAGTGTGACCTTGTCTGGAGGAGCTGTGTCATGGAGTGGGCTTTGAGGGCCCAGTGCCACTTTCTCTGCCTGTGGATCAGGATGCAAAGCTCTGAGTTACTGTTCCAGTGCTATGCCTGACTGATGCCCTCCAGGACAGTCACAGACTATCCCTCTGAAACAGCACACAACTAAATGCTCTCTTCTGGTAAGCGCCACCCTGGTCAGAGGGCCTCATCGCAACAATGGAACAGTGGAAAACTGTGGACAAAACCAACCAAAAAACAACAAAAAGCCAAAACAAACAAAAACCCTTGCTAAGTGTTACTAGTAGACTCAAGAAATATTACAGAAGCCTAATACCTGAGTAGTAAGATTCCTAAACAGTATCATCTTTTTTCCTGATGCCCAGAAAATACTCAGAAAAAAAAAAAAAAAAACACACCCAAAGTGTACTTCAAAGATACGGTGGATCTAGCTGAATCTAGGCTGTCCCCAGACAGCCAAGTGCTGGTGCAAGGCAACACCTCCGTGTCACAGTGAAAAGACAACTGTGGAGGCTACAGATCTCAACCAGGTCTAACTGTGCATTTCACTAGGATGGATCTACGTGTGGCAACTCTATTCTAAGGATAAAATCCCCACCCCACTCCCAGTTTTGATTTTAAGAAAAGACCATTTCCAGACTTCGTTTCTTTTTTATGCCCAATAACACACAGGGAGCGCTGGACCGGAAGTCTCAGACCTTCATTCACCTGCTCTGTGCCTGGATCTAGGTCAACGATTTCCGGGACAGGATTCCATCTATGGGATTCATTCCACAAGCAACAGAGCTGAACTATTTCTACTACACATAGCCAAACAGACTGTGAAGAAGGGGCAACCTCAGAGCAGCTAGGTTATGCTGCCAGTAACTAACCAATGAGGAGACTGAGAGTTCAGGTGCAGGAGGGAAGTCTCCATGACAGGAATCCAGCTGTGTCACTGAGCACATGACCTTGGAGAAATTGTATTCCATACCTGTTTGATAACCTTCCTCATGAAAATGACTGGTGGACACACACACACAATCCAAACCTCCGGAGGATGCAGCAAGGGGCCTGGGAGGTTGAAGCCAGTCTGGGACACACTGAGATGGTCTCAAAAAAAAAAAAAAAAAAAAAAAAAAAAAAAACTACAACAAAACAAACTTTAAAAATAATGAAATGGGCACAACACAACAGTAGTACAAATTATCATAGTTACCATAAGGCTTTGAATGATAATTTAATACTTAGGGCACTGAGTACCAAGGACGCTTCAATAAATGCTCACTGCCAGTCAGTAACTAAAAGATAACCCAGTTTCAGTCCATGCCGGTTCTCCATGTTCTAACAGCATCTGCAAAGAGCTTGAGATTAACTCAAATAATTCTGAGACGAATTAGCAGAGCTGTTACATAGGTGCCTGACTTCAGGAGTTAGAGTGATCACTTAGATCACCTTCACTAAGAGACTCTCATCTTTTCAACCACACAGTGAAGTGAACGCTACATTAAAGAATCTGAGTACTATATTCACACATCCACTAGCTGATGATAGCCAACGGGAGATGTATACTTCCTGTTCACATACATCTAGAGACAGCAAACAGAAGGTTACAAAATAAACCTATCAAAACTAACTTACTTGTGTGTATGTTGAAGTGTATGGGGGTGTACACGTGTGTCCATATGTGATAGAGACCACAGTTGACACTGACGCTTCACCTGCTCTCCACTTTATTCTTTGAAGCAGTCTCTCTCACTTGACCGCAAACCTTGCCAGCCTGGTTCTGGAGCCTCTGTCTCCACCTTCCTATGGGGAGCTAGAGTCGGCTGCCACACTCACTGGCATTTTAGGTGAGTTCTAGGAATGCAAGCTCCAGTCTTCAAGCTTGGGCAACAAGCTCTCTGTCCAACGAACCATCTCTCTCCAGACATCACAATCAATTTTTAAAGGTTACATTCAAGTGACTCACTTACTTAAGTTCTGATCAAATCAAGGTGATAATCTAATGCTAATAAAGATGACATAACTCACGGAGCAAGAATGAGCAGAAATCTTGTTAAGACAGACTCAAAACATACATAAATCTAAAATTTAATGTAATGTGACCAAAGTATAAGAGTGCATGTGTGAGCTACTGTCCTCTAACAGAATAGAACCAAAAGTCTTACATTTAATAACAATGTATAAAAGCTCTAATCACATGCAGACTACCATGTATAAATGAAGTAGTGTGAGATTTCCATATGTGGAGACACCCTGTTCAGAAAGAAGCTAATCAGAAGTAAACCCATAAACACACATATCGCAAAGGTACACAAAAATGTTTATCATTTACCATCGTAGTACATAGAGAATAAACTGCAAAAATTAGTATCTTCATGAGGGTTTAACAGTGAGCAACCTAAGTGCATTTCACTTATGGAGCATAAATAGCAGAGGTCAAAAGAATTAAATAATGTATGAGTGAAAAAACATACAATATACCATAACAAGGAGTTAGAAAACTGAATATTGTGGAAAAGGTTTATTATTCTGTACAGGTTGGTTTTTAATAAGCTACTTGCTATTTGTTACAGTCAATTATCAACGATCTCATTGCAATAGCATTTCCCCAGCAGTCAGAATCTGGAAGCAATTTGCCTTTTTCAAATTATCATTTAGTGTTTTTCTCCCCCACCTTCAAAACACAGAAACGGGTTTTTGAATAGCAACTAGCCATTTATGGAAGCTGTAAGATACAGACAGTCATTATACAACAAACTACACCTGAGCACCTGGACTAATAATGCCAACACTTGTGAAGAAAGCTGTTGGTTTTAAAAGTGGAAGTACTACAGGAGTTAGAATATACTGCTCACGGCCTTCTGAAACCCACATGAGGGCCAGTCTTACCGGTATCCTGCCAGATGCCATGTAACTAATACATCACACCAAGGATCAGGAACCAATGTGTGCAACACAGGGTTAAAGCTCCAGGTGACTGAGCGAAGACTGGAGGAAATTAAAATACCAAACTGCTTTAACTTATCAATACTATTTTGGAAGCATCATCAGAACATAGGGATTTAATTGTGAATTGCCCTGGGCTCTATCCTGGACTGAGAATTTGACTTAGTACTAAGCATCTTCAACACCCGAGAAGAGTTGTGCATAGTGCTTTGTCACTCCTCACGGGAACCTGGGTAGGCTGATGATACCTCCACCCCTCCCCACCGTCCCGGCTCTACATACCAAGTAATTCAGTAATTAAGCAAAAGGGAGAAAAAAAGCAGACTTGCAGCAACACATACTAGACGGATGTTTTTAAAAATGACATGATAAATGTAAATCATAAAACCAAATGTACTCATGAAGGTACACCTATTTTACGTTACATTAAAAAAACAAACTATAGACTGCAAACTGTGCATGCTTACCATAACATTTCACCTGGGAAAGCCGGTGAGGGGAGTTCTTGCAAATACTCACTGCCATGATAAAAACAATTATGTGCAAACTGCAAGGTCCCTAATAGCAGTTAAGAGTTTATATACAGAAAGATGTCACTATCTGATCAAATATGCAAGAGACGGACTTCCCAGAGTTTATAGCACAGAGCAATAACCACTGCAGGCTCCTCCTCCGTGGCTCTCTTCCCTGTGTGCCAGCTTGACTCCTTTGTTCTGGTTTTCACTTTCCCACAGTCCAGGTGTCTGAATGATCTTTTCAACAAGCTCCTCAAAGGCACACTGAACACCATCACAGGTTTTTGCACTTGCCTCTGAAAGTCAAGGAAAAGGACCACAGTGTATTTTTTGTTGGACACAGTTTCATATGTTTCTAGAGAATTATTATGGCATAAATAGAAGCCTACAAGATGCTGACAATCTAATCAGCAATTTCTTTTTCTTTTTTCTTTTTTTCCCAAGACAGGGTTTCCCTGTGTAGCCTTGACTGTCCTGGACTCACTTTGGAGACCAGGCTGGCCTCGAACTCACAGAGAACTGCCTGCCTCTGCCTTCCCGAGTGCTGGGATCACAGGTGTGTGCCACCGTGTCATGCAGCAATTTCTTGCTAGGGTTTAGAATTAACAAATTTCCTCCCCTCCCCGCACAGAGCGACCTAGACTCTTCCCACCAGTGCATCAGCTTCGCCCTAAGGGCTGTGATGTGATTGCACCTTATAAGGCTCTACTGTGTCTTAAGTTTTTTCCTTAGGTTTTCAGTTAATTCTTCAAACGAGCCCCCAAACAGATGGCATTCCTATTATAAAATAAGCAAGCCCATATTCCAACATAATTAACGTGATTTTTCTGAACGTGCAGCTGAGGAGTGACACGGCTAGAGGAAATGCGGACAGGCAAGCACACTGGCCTGTTCCATGTGTGCTCACATGCCTCCCAAGCCAAGCACTCGGCTATCTGCCTTACTCTCTACAGAGACTGCTCGCATTCCTTCTTTCCCGCTATCTCAGCTGATGCTCTGGCCTCTCAGTCTGTACTGCTGAGGATGGAGTCTGGGGCTCTGTGCCTGACAGGCATGCGTACTCTAGCCCTGAGTTAAACCTTCAGTCCCTGCTCTGGAGTAAGACGATGACTGGGAGTAGGGCCACAGAAGCAATTTGGCAAGGATTCTCTGCTCATGCACTATTGAGTGGACCCGCTGCCTACTTATCCCGTTCCTCCGTGGGACGGTGAGCTGCCCCTCTGTTGGCCGAAACACCTTCTGCAGCCCCCAGAGCCCACTCCTGCACATTTTTACTCAAGGTTCATGCACTCTCTTTTCTAACACTGTCATTCAATCCAAATGTCTGCTAAAACTTTCCATCTTATTAATAAGATGGATTTGTCCTCGAGTCCATATACCTTTCATGGAGCCACCCAGTGGCAATCACTTCAGAGTGTTACTTGAATGCGCTACTCCCACTGTCTCCCTTCGCAAGCTTTCCTCAACTGGAGCAGTCAAATCCCATCCAAGGGGCACATGTATGATGGCATTCCTACATCTACTGTATGTACACTCCTATGATCTACTTTGGCTCTTAAACTAGGCACAAGACTAAGCTCTCCATACTAACTAATAGCAAAATTAAACACTTATAACAACACGCTATACTAAAACCTTGTTCTTCATGTTTGCAGACCAAGACTGGCCACAGTGACACTGTGGAGGTGCTATGTGGAGGGCAGGCAGTGTAAGCTGGCTTCGGTTCCCCAGCTCCGCTAGCACAACCGTCACAACTATGAGCACTGGTTCTAGCTAAGCTGAGCACACTAACCTCCCTGATGTCCTGTCATTTGGTAGTACTAATCATGTCCCTCTTGCGCCTGTGCCGCCCAGCACAGTTGACATTCCCAGAAATTCTCCTGTGTTGGTGTCATGTCACTCATGGCTTCCTGCTGGCCTCCTTGGAGTATCCTAGAGGTCATTCTTAAAACAATTGAGCCAGTCACAGCTTCTTAAATGCTGTCGAAACAACCAGCGTCTCTACTGGACAGCTAAACCCTGTCTCATCCTGCTTCCCACTAACCCACGCCACCTCTGCTTCACCTCAGCCCTCTGCTCCAAGTAATGGGGCACAGCCTACCTCCTACTTGGCCAAGCTAAAAACCTGGAGCTGTCTTGAACTGTTCTCTCTCACTGGCCTCCTCACACAAGTTTCCTACATAGTCTGTTTGACAGTCAAGTTTTTCCCAGAGCCATCAACTCTTTGTGGCCCACTCCCTGGTAGGGAGAGCACCAGCTTTGTTCCAGTCACAGCAAGAGAAGAACCAGCTTCCCACTCTCACCTCACAGACCACGCTTCCCACGCATCAACTACAAGCTTCCTTCCTGCTCTTAAACACTACGCTGACCCCACAGTGTTGAGACGTGTGCACTGACCTTTCTGCCCAACAGCACACTGTGCCAACAGCGTTCCCTGTATGGTACCGTGCCAGTCAGTCTGCGCTCCTTTCTTGCCTTCATGGCACTGCTTACTTGCCAGACCTGCTTCCTACACTGCAAGCTCCAGACGGGCAGAGCCCATGTCTGTCTGGTCAATGTTCTGTCTAGCCAATGCTCTATCCTCCATGTTCAGAAAAAGCAGGAAAGGTAACACATGGAATATGGGACCTGCGGCCACTCAACATTAAAGGAAGCTTCCAACTCTGCTCAGAACAGCAGCACACAGCCCTGGCACCATACTGCCCCTCTCTCCATGGGCGAGGTCTCAAGCCCACCTGCGGCTTCCCAGTGTCTGAAGAGCAGGACAACACGTCAGAAATGCCCAAACTAGCTGCCACATCTGAACCAGCCTAGGTAACTTTTCTCAACAATACTGTGTGTGTGTGTGTGTGTGTGTGTGTGTGTGTGTGTGTGTGTGTGTG